TGAAGACTGTGAACTCAAAGTGAGTGTAATGCGTATCAGTCCTTATTTTTGTTGGAACACATTTTAAAACATTTGTGTTTCCACTTTATTTACATGACAGATTTTGGACTTTGGTTTGGCTCGTCAGACTGATGATGAGATGACTGGATACGTAGCCACCCGCTGGTATAGAGCCCCAGAGATCATGCTTAACTGGATGCATTACAACATGACAGGTACTAGATAAAGGGCTCCATGTAAGTGGCACATCTCAGCTTTGTTCTAAACGTTTGTCTGTGTGTTCTAGTGGACATCTGGTCTGTGGGGTGTATAATGGCAGAGCTTCTCACTGGAAGGACATTGTTTCCCGGCACTGACCGTATCCTTTGCATAGCGTGGAAAGTACTGATTTTGTACTGGCATTTCATGAATAATTATTACACCATTTAAATACAATATACATTTTTCAGTATTCTCATTTATTATTTCTCTTCTATGTCCTTTAATGCTGGGTCTGATCTAAGCTCATTTTAAAGTCATGATTATAAAAAAAAATTATAAATTCTCAGTGCTTCTGTATTTGAACAGTCATTTTGCAGTGTATTAGTCTCCCTGTTTCTGTCCCCCCAAAAAGTGATTGATAAATATAAAAAAAGTGAAAAAATCTGAAAATATATAAAAAAGAGATTGATAAATATGTTCAGAAGCTAATAAAACCTTAATATCCCCTGCCAAATACTCACCGTCATTGCATGATCAATGACAAAACAGGCATCATCCTATTGCTGCTGCAGACTACATTTTGAGTTTTCTTTTTCACATTTGTAGAATGAAAATGGGAGTAACTATTGCTCTGATTGCTCTGATACAGAATTACTTTTCTGGATGTCTCTAAACTACAGTTCATCTCCATTGCTATTTAAACTACAGTCATCTCCATTGCTATTTTGGTTTAGCCTATTTCCTTTTTCAGCTACTTTTCACCATTGTGTCTTTTGCTTAGTATTTCTGCACTTTCAACTGTGGGGGAAGCAGTCTTTTATGCAGTTCAATCAAAATCAATCTGCATGTACTGTATACTTTTAATTAAGCGTCTTCAAACACGTTCTCTTCTCGCCTGCTGTGTTATCAGCTCTAAGCTCTGCTTGTGAGTATTCTGCTTTATCAGCTCTGACCCTTTCCCACTTCAGTTGTATTATAAAATTAAACTAGTGATGCCACACTTGTCTGGTCTTCCTTTACCGTGTGATGGTAGACATTGACCAGTTGAAGTTAATCATGCTCCTGGTGGGGACTCCAGAGCCATCTCTCTTGAAGAAAATCTCTTCAGAGTCTGTGAGTTCATAAAGTTTGTTCTTCTGTTTTGGTGCATTTGATCTTAAGTGTCCAGTGTGCTTCTTTGTTGACAGCATGCTGTTGCTTGGTGTTTGGTTTTGTGGATGTAGATGTTATGTTTGTGGCATCTGCTTGGCTTATGTCCTTCCTCATTGTACATGCTGTAAAATGTTAAGTATACTATCTTACTTCCACATTATAAAGCATCCTTTAACACTGTTTGCTCTGTCACACCTTGACACAAGCTTCATAGATATAAACCAGCTACAGCAGATCATGCGTTTGACAGGAACACCCCCGACATCTCTAATAAACAGGATGCCCAGTCACGAGGTGAGACGACTGGGGTGGGTCTTCTATGAGGCCTTCACTTCTCCACTTCTCCCCTTCTGGGCCAAAAATAAGACATTTATATTGAGCAGTTGTACAGTGTTATAGTTAAAAAGCACATTGTACCATTGTATTCAATAGGTGTTTACCAGTAAATATTCTAATATCAAACAACAATTCTTTAAGTAACACAAATGCAACAGTGCATAATGCTTGACATGTAGGTGCACTCATTACTATATCTTGATCCTCTGTTGTGGAAACAAACTGAGTTTGCATTTATTTTTGGATAAGCATAAAACATGTATATGCTAGAGCAAGGGCACATGCATGGTTTGCCCATGATGGACGGTAATAGTCATATATTTAATGGATATTACTTTAGAATTTTCTGCAATTATGTGGATATCCCTAAAATCTGTTATGAGCATTTAGTACGCGATTTAAAATTTTATGAGAACTGTGTGTAAAACTGTTCTGTTGGTTCCTCTTAAATTACTTCTTCATGATTTGCCTTTGTTTTCTGTTTTGTGTCTTGAAAAATTTTAGAAACATGTTACTGTTCTGAGTTCTGTTGCCTGGCAACCTGTCAGAACTGTGGTAGCTTTGCCTAACTCCATTGCTGCATACTGTGTGATGATTAGGGAGCGGACCACAGAGACCTGTATGTGTTTTGTATCAAGGTCATAAAAGCTCTGTTCTTGCTGCAGTAGAATCAATACATATACATACATTGCATATACATAAGTATATTTCCTCTATGTAATTGTACGTTAAGGTCAGGTTTGTGAAAGTTTCAGCCAAGTTGTTTTGTTTTACTCCTGCTTTTATGACATTTCGTTTTGTTTTTCAGGCCAGAAATTACGTTATGTCCTTGCCTATTATGCCCAAGAGGAACTTTGCTGATGTTTTCATCGGTGCCAACCCCCTAGGTAATGGATGTGTTTGATTGATGCATGTATTTTTGTGCACCATACCTATGACATACTAATGCCAGTGATAACTTGCTTTTCAAACTATGGTGTTCTATGGTGGTCTATCTATGTCACCCTGCTTTCTTATCTTGTTAGCTGTGGACCTTCTGGAGAAAATGCTGGTCTTGGATACAGACCAGCGGATAACAGCAGCTGAAGCCTTGGCTCACCCATACTTCAGCCAGTACCATGACCCAGATGATGAACCAGTGGCTGACCCCTATGATCAGAGCTTTGAGAGCCGTGAGCTGGACATCGAGGAATGGAAACGTGAGTTACATTAAACTTTGTAGTATTGTGTCAGTTGATTTATAGCTCGATTTATAGTATTATATTATTATTATTATTATTATTATTATTATTATTATATAGTGATGCAGGGAAAGCATTTAACAGCTTTTTGTACAGTACTATTTATCCTAGTTAAAGAGGGGGTATTATCCTAAATCAAGTTTTAAAAAAAAAAGTTTTCTACCATGTAATAATAATAATAATAATAATAATAATAATAATAATAATAATAATAATAATAATAATTATTATTATTATTATTATTATTATTATTATTATTATTATTATTATTATTATTATTATTATTATTATACCTCATCAAAAACATGCCTGAAGAGGTTTTAGATGTCATTCTTGCATATTTTAGTAATCTAGCTATCTTTTCCGGCCCTATTCAAATCCTCCTTATAGTTAGGTATAACATTTGTCAATTCTCCTGAAATGTACAACAGCATGATTCAAAACTGTCCATTACAGCTTAACAACCCTGTTGCAATGTGCGGTAGATTCATTAGTGAAACACACACTGACTGTAATGTGATGGCACTTTGAAACAATAAAAGGTAACATGATAATCTAAATATGGTATATGTTAGTAGTTCATACCTCATAGACATAAAATACCCTCTCTTTAAACATTTTTTACATTTTTGTTTAGGTCTGTTTGAACCTTGTATTTATTTCGAAATTTTTTTGATAATTTATGGTATTATTCTCTTGCTGCTATAGAATTCGTACTATTGTGGTACAGATAAAAGTTTTCTAACCTTGTCTTTTTTTTCTGCAGGATTAACTTATGAGGAGGTCATAAGTTTTGAGCCACCTCTCTTTAGTGAAGATGACATGGAATAACTGCAGTGACCATGGCATCCAAAAATGTGCTACAATCCTGAGTTTTTAATGAAACTCAAAATTCGTCTGCCATATTAATAAGTGTTGTCTTTTAGATTAAACTCTTGTAAAGGGAACAGTACCAGTGTGAGGAATCTCCATAACACTTTATTTATAGACCACTATGCCAATGTTTGAACTGGTACTGGTGCCGTTTTATATTTCTGGCCTTTAGATTACTTAATTTTATCATATTTTAAATTCAAATAATCACTGTGACCGTCATAAATAAGATGCTGAAAAATGTCAGGACCTATAGCTGTGCTTCTTTAAGTATTTTGTGAAATAGTTTATCTTAAGTTATAAGCTTTTGTGTTGTCAGTATGCTAGTCCCTTTTCACTAATGCCAAAATAGCATACACAGTGCTGTGATCTGAATCACTATATCACATTTGTTTCAGGAAAGAATTAACAAATATTTTTGTAAAGTTATTCAGATCTATATTTGGACAGTTAAGTCCCACTGTCCCACTTCAGCATCGTTATTGCCAGCTTGCTGTAAAAAAAAAACTGCAGAATATGGCCTACTTGATGCATTATAGCTGGCTCTTGCATTGTCAAACATTGTGGTTATGTTATAATCACTTTTAATTTTAGATAATTTATAGGGTATGTAGGCTGAGACTGCGTGTCATTTTAAGTGTTTAATCAACCTGATTTAATGTTTAAGTGGAAATGTTTAAAAGAAGGATATCGGATGTATTTATACTGTGTTGAAGTGGTATTTATAAACTACTGTTGAATGGGTAATTGGGAGAATGATTACTTTATTTTGCTCTTCTCTGTAACAAATAAAGATGTATTTTTAAGAGTATGTTTCTTTTATGTTTTTTTCATTTTCTTTTTGAACTATTGCACTTTGACTCAGTCTTATCCTGAATCTTATAGTAATTTATAACAGTAAAAATCCTTTTGCAGCTTCAAATGTCTAAAATTAGAAGCATGCACCATTCCGATACAATTGTAATATACGCATTTTTACTTGCCTAATTTGACTTTTACATTATCTAATTTCATCAATGCTTTTTTCTTACAAGATGTACAGAACTTTTAGACAAAGACTGTCATTCAAGTACACATAAACTGTAAAATTGCAGTGTAGATTGCGAATGTGAATCTACAAGATATTGGTGTTATTTTCTGTTTTTCCAAAATGGTTTGATCCCAGCGTGTGCAGGTGGATTGTCCTGCACACATTCACAACATCATTGGACAACACCGCTTGAGCAAAACTGTCCTCTGCGCATGCGTCAAACATTCGCTCACTGGTGCTGCTGTAGCTAACGGCTAGGCTACGATTCCTGCCAACATGGAGAGAAAAGGTAATACGATATACAAAAATGATAAATCGTGCAATCCGTGTAGGTTTAACACTTCACCTGGTCCTAAAAATAGATCACTATTTGAAAAATGTATCAGGGTTGCGTGTCTGTACGTAGGTATTTAATTGAGGGACTGTCACGCACTGTTGATCTGGATCTACGTTAGCTCCAGACGTTAGCCTTAGCTTCAATGGGACATATCAGGATTAGCTAGCCGCAGTTAGCTTTCTAGTCCTTTCCATTTTCACCCTTCCTAGACAGCGACGCCGTTATTAGACTGGCACTATCCGGGCCGAGGTTTCGATGTCCAAGGAGCCTCAAACGCCATTGGATCCGTTTATCAGTGCGCGGCTGCGGGCTTCAGGTGGCAGCCCGGGGGTGTTGCAGAGGCTAACCCTGGCTGGGAAGTGGATGACAGATATGGTTGGATGATAAACATTGGACATTTAAATTAAGAAGAATGGTTTAAATAATCATGTTTTATATATCATTATAACGTAACTGTATTAAAACACAATAAACTAACGTTATGTTTTTTTGTATTTAGTTCTGGCACTCCAGGCAAGGAAGAAGAGAGCAAAGGCAAAAAAGACGACTAAAAAGTGAGTTGTTTATCAAATATTTATGTACTACTGAATGCAAAATGTTTTCTAATATGTTGTTTGGATGTTTGATATTTTACCTGCTTCTATATCATTCTATGCTTTTAATTTTGTCTGACTTAGTAATATCTTTATTTTTAAATGGGGTTCATATGAGGACTTAAGATAGGACTATATTTAACACTCTTGCCTGGTCATTTTTCTTGTATGTGAGTTGTAAATCAAGAATGTAAAACGTGTGCTGTGTGCTTAGACTTAAGAAATCTAAGAGTTTCATAATGTATGTAATTTTCCTATGGATGCTGTGCTTTAACGTGACATTATCAACATGGACAGGATCTATCTCAATACTTATTGTTAGGGTCTATACCTAAACAATCCACTAATCAGGTCTTCAGAGGCATCCTCCGGAGCGTTACATAACAGGCTGCGCTATATTTAAAGGCAGAGAATGGAGAAGCCCACATCAGCCCAGTGAAGCATGGTGTTTGAGTGGAAAAATGCTTTATTACACTTGAGATTCTTGACCCCTGGTTCAGTTATTAGTATTTAATGTCAATTTGTTTTGTATCCATTGTCATTATAAAATCTAATATATCTGTTGACCACACCAAGCTCAGATATTCTCTACCATTTTAACATTGCTGTTGCTTGAAAAAATCTTCTAAGAGCTGCAATTATGAAGTGTTATGTGGACCATGTATTTTATAGTTACATATTATTTAGTATAGTATAAGCGTAACTATGTTTTAGTAATTCATTTTGTATACCAAAGTGTGTGTAAGAATAATTAGAATTAGAAGAGATAAAGAGAGGGCCTTAAGCCATTAATTTATTTGTAATCTAATTAGATGCAGTGTGTCTGGTGATTTGGAGTTTTAATCTCTTTTCTTTTTGGCTGCATTTATTTCTGGCAAACGTTGCACATTTTGACTGCAGCATTAATCCTGTATAATTTGGACCGTTTACAATTTAAAACTCATTTGTGAACACTGAACAGGTTGGGTGAAAAATATTTACTAATTTCCTCTTGACATTTACTGCTGCCTGTAAAGTCAGCAGTAAATGTGACCTCCTACATATCAACACCGGTCAGTAGATGACAGCTAAAGGGCCTTTCCTAATCAAGTAGTTTTTTTTTTTTTTTACACTGTGTAGAATAGCCCTTGTGTGACACCTGTCTGTTAAGAAAACACATCCTACCAAATGTTGGTTAAGTGTCCATTGCAGTGGCGTCTGTTTTTTTTCTTCCTCAAGCAAAAATGTTTCCATTTTAATCATCAACAAATGTGCCCAGGCATGAACAATGTATGCGCTAATTCAGTTTATGACTGAACTATAAGCCTTGACTTTGTTCTTGCGTTGAAACTTTTCTAAATAATATGATGCTATTATGATAAGCTCCCTTTTGATTGTGAATGTTTAGCATTTAGATGAAAATTGTATGAGCTGTACAATCACAGGCTCACTCTTTGTTTGGAAGTGAAAGAGGCAACAAGTAGCACTTTAAGGTGATGTTTTTGCCCCTCATCTTTGTGGTTTTGTCTGTTCTGAACATAAGACTGAGGACTGTTTTTTTTGTTAATATTTTCTTTGTTATTTAATCGCCTGACTAACTGAGGACATTCCCTGTTATATAACTATTAAAATTGTACATTTGGTAATATAAGACAAGAAGCCTTTTAGAAAAAAAACAAGATTGATACATTTAAACAAGTCTAACTGGTTAAACAACAGCAACATTGATCCTCCAAACAAAAGATCATACACAGCTTTCTCAGTAATTTTTATATAAAAAACACTGGGTGGAGTTTCTATTAAAAGCTGAGCTTCCATGTCTGGAATGAAACAGATAATGTCTCCTAGAAGCGTGTTTATATAGGTGGACTTCAAAGGTCACTTTTGAATTGCTTTGAAAATAAATTGTCTCTGTTGAACAGGCAGCCAGCCAATCCCAGAGCCCGTCAGCCACCGCAGCACGAGGCGTCGCCCCCGGAGCCTGAAGAGCCAGAAGAGATCCTGGGGTCCGATGATGAGGAGCAGGAAGACCCCAACGACTACTGCAAAGGTCAATCTTGTTCTTAATGTCTTCACATCGGAAATACTCTTAATTAATCTAACTGAATAGTGGGAAGAGAGCCAGTTAGATTTAAAGATCACATAGAATAGTTAACTGCGATGTTAGTGCCATTTTTTACAAGCTGTTCCTCCTGCTGAATCTATTACTTTCCTCCTCTAGGTGGCTACCATCATGTGAAAGTAGGAGACCTTTACAATGGAAAATATCATGTAATTCGTAAATTGGGCTGGGGGCACTTCTCCACTGGCTGGCCTGGGACATCCAGTAAGAGCATGATTTCAGCACTTATTCTTGCACACTCTGATTCAGATATGACAGTGCAGTGCTGATGGTTGTGTGTTCACAGGGTGAAGAGGTTTGTGGCAATGAAGGTAGTAAAAAGTGCTGAGCAATATACGGAAACGGCAGTGGATGAGATCAAACTACTCAGATCTGTAAGTGACTGTTAGTCCCACTGGAATCATCAATAATGCATTCCAATTGTAGAGACTTCTTATCTGTTTGTTCAGGTGAGAAACTCGGACCCTGATGATCCAAACCGAGACAAAGTTGTGCAGTTGCTTGATGATTTCAAGATCTCTGGTGTTAATGGGACTCGTATCCTTTTATTAAGTAATATTCATTAATTTTATTAGTCTGTATATTCGCCTTAATTTTTATTTTCATTGTAAAGAAATAATACATTTTATAAATATAATACATGGAGACTTTGTTTTTCTTGAGTGTGGGATTTGCTGCAGAAAAGCATGTGCACAAATAACAGGTGATGTGTGTCAGGCTGTTTTAGTGAGTCTCAGGCTTTAGCTGCATAAGATCCACAAATACCTCAGGGAGAGATGTAGCTGTAACAAGACTCTCCACAACACTCTTTTCATCTGCCTCCTTTATTAAATTTGCCTGGTTGTATTTAAAAGCCCATTAATGTACCGGTTGCTACTCATTTGTTTTTCCTTAACAGTTGTAATTCTCAGATGTTTGCATGGTCTTTGAGGTTTTGGGACATCATTTATTAAAGTGGATAATAAAGTCTAATTATCAAGGGCTGCCCCTGCCCTGTGTGAAGAGTATCATCCGACAGGTAAGATGACACCAGTTTCACGCCTTTTGTGTTGTTGAGCTGAGAAGCATGAGGCAGCAGTAGTTAACAAGAGCCAGGTGTCCTCCGGGGGGTCAACGTGTGGGAACAAACTTCATAACTCAGCACAGGGGCAGGCTGCTGAAGGAAATGAAATGTGTTAATTTCTTACAGTAAAAAAGTGTAGCTGTTGACTTCTGTGAAGATTTTCATTTACTGAATTTCGTTTTCTTTAGGTTCTGCAAGGCTTAGACTACCTGCACTCAAAGTGCCAGATCATTCATACGGACATAAAGCCAGAAAATATTCTCATGAATGTGGATGAGCCTTACGTGCGGAAACTGGCTGCAGAGGCCACCGAGTGGCAGAGGTCTGGGGCCCCTCCTCCCTCCGGTTCAGCAAGTATGAACACACACATTTTCGCATGCTGTTTTTCATTTGTTACTATTTACTATTATTTACTTAATTTTGTTTTTTGCAGTAAGCACAGCACCTGCACCAAAACAGGTAAATTAGACATTTTATTTGTCATTCTATATTTGTATATTTGCAAATGTTTTTTTTACATGACAGTTTTTAAAATGTATAGGCTGTGAAAATGTCAAAAAACAAGAAAAAAAAGTTGAAAAAGAAACAGAAGAAGAAGGCCGAGCTGCTGGAGAAGTGCATTATGGACCTGGAGGAGATGGAGAAAGCCACAGGACCACAGGAGGAGGACGACGAAGACTATGAGGACCCACAGTCTCCCAAAGGCAGAGTGTGTGCCCCTTTAAGACAGCTGTCCTTTCAGGAAATAGGAGCAGAGGAAGACGAGGGTGGTATGTTTAGAAAACAGCTTTTTGGCTAATTCTGAAAAAAGCTGTTATAATTAATCTTTTTTTTGTTATTTGTTTAGAATGCAGTGTCACCGTAGACCAACTGAGCACGGGACCAGTCGAGCAGCGGGAGGTGAACTGTAATGGCCATGCGGAGGTGGAGCAGAGCCTTTGGAGGAGTGAAGACCAGCACAATGGGAACGCACAGCTGCCAGAGAAGTGTGGCAGTGAGGATGAGGCACAGTGCATATCCCCGCTCTGTAACGGTTTGGACTTTCCCGACCTGAAAGAGCTAGACTTGGACTGTGAAAGCCCTGAGGTTGTAAGAGAAGAGGGGTCACAGACACAAGCTCACAGGCACCCCTCTGATGGGCTGGAGGAAGGAGAACTGGAGCGGAGCAATGGCCATGGCAATGAAGAGGGCTGTCGACTGTACAGGACCCAGGAGAGTGTCAACGATGGTCAGTATCACAGCAGAAGCAAGTACATGGGATCCAATTGGGAAATGTATGTAAAAGAATTAAATGTTAACTAAGATTGACATTTGGTGATTATTTGACCTGCTCAGGGCAGGCAGCAGATGGTGTCCACTTGTTGATTTGAGAGGCTCACCCAAATGTTTGTGGTTCTTTATCACCTGCATTGCTTTACATATTGAATAATGATGGTCAATTTGATTGCAGCATTTGCTGTGTACTTTACATGCCTTTCCTACCTTGTGCTCACTGACTTGAGACTTCCTCTTGGTTCTGTTTTAGGCAAGCTGTCAGCGGGATCCCTGTTAGTTAACCCTCTTGAGCCACTCAATGCGGACAAGATCAGGGTCAAGATTGCTGACTTGGGAAATGCCTGCTGGGTGGTGAGTTGTCTAATGACCTCTGGGGTTTCCTGATTTAAAGCTAGATGCACGATCACTATCATTTGTCTCAACAGACTGAATGATATATTTACTACAGTCCATTTCCCTCTTTACAGTTCTAAAGTGTAACTCTTGTCTCTGTTTCAGAACAAGCACTTTACAGAGGACATTCAAACACGGCAGTACCGGTCGTTAGAGGTGCTTATCGGAGCTGGATATAGCACACCAGCCGATATTTGGAGCACAGCCTGCATGGTGAGACATTTTATTAGTGCCTATAGAAGTTATAATATAGAAGCAAGTTGTTTGTAGTGAGCAAACAACAGAAGATTTTCAAATAAAAAGTTATTCACCTGCCATCTTAATGGTAATGTCACTCATGGGCTTTTGTTACATTTTAAACATCTGCTGCCTGAAGTTAACCTCCCAGGCACCCCTCAAAAAAAACAAAAAACAAAAAAAAAAAACTGAAACTATTTTATTTCAACTCATTTTCAAATGTAAGTCTACCATGTTTTAATAGTGTTTGGCTTTTTGTTTTGTCTAATATTGACTTTTGCTAATGCTGACATGGTTATATAAAGCTCCAGAGAGTCTGTGGCAGCGAGAGTGTTTTATTGTGGTCCTCTTGTGCAGACAGAGTAACTCCAGTGATTATGCTGTTTATTTGTCTGTGTCTTGTCTCAGGCCTTTGAACTTGCCACTGGAGATTATCTGTTTGAACCACGATCTGGGGAAGATTACTCCCGGGATGAAGGTATTTGTGGGAATACATCTAACTATTCATTAACATTTATTCATGAACTTACTATATACAACTATAAATAAAGTAGTATTTAGCATAAGTCTCAAACAGTCACTGCTACTGTGTATGACTTTGACTTGTGAGAAAATGTATTTTTGCCTTTAGAGTTGCATCTCAATTATTTGAAAATGGTGCCAAACTACTACAATTGAAATAAGGCTCATAAAAGAAAACAGACTTTTTATTTAATTATGATTTTATGTTCTGCATAAAGTGTTTTTATATTATATCACAATATTTACAACATGTACACTTAATGCAAATTTTTGAGATGCACCTGTTTACTACTTTTTATTAAATATGTTATGTATTTTATGTTTTATGTATTTTGCAACATTCAAATTGTGGTACTCATTACCATCATTGTTTTAGCTGTAAATTATAGCTATGATCATGATGTTGAGTACCAGCATTCCTGTGTGTATTTCCACTTAAACCACTAAAATCACTCTTCTGAAGGTGGGGCCGTCACTTCTCAATCTCACTTTAACTGTCAATTACCTGCCTTAAAATTGTTTCTCCTATGATCATTTTCCTTCATGCTTTGCTTTGCTAAATCTTTTCTGAATGTATGTCCAACATGTGTTACCTCCCATCACATCACTAAAATATGCTCACTTCTTGATGTCTCGTTTCCACTGTTTCATGGCTGTCTGTAATTGGATTTTGTACTAATCACTCACATTTTGCAAAAAGCTTTCCCCCCCCAAATAATCTACTGCTTTCTAATTATAACAGAATTGGATGAATGCAGCACTGATTTTCATTCTGATCATTTGACCAGTTTTGGGAATGGCCACAGTCTGTTGGACAAATGTTAGTGATTATGGCTTCAGATGCTACAGCACTAGTTTTGACTATTTGTTGCTCATTACATTCTGTCATGCTTTTTTTTTTTTTTAAATGTCTAAATGTAATTCTCATCATGTGCTTTAAACTGCTCTAGGCTACCGTCATGCCTAATCCATTGTTCATTTCATACCTCTGTGCTGTCCCTCATCTCCTTCCCTGTCCCCCCTCTCCTGTCCTTTCTCCTCTGATGTGCCTCATTTTCAGACCACCTTGCGCTCATGATAGAGTTGCTGGGTAAAATCCCTCGCCACTATTCTCTGAGTGGGAAATACTCACAGGAATACTTCAACAAGAGAGGTATGCTGCCCTTGGTCTGTGGTCCGCTCTGGGACTCGGGATGGCAGTGAGAAACGGGAACAGGGAACTGTAATTAAAGGCACTGGCTTAAAAATGTGCCTCATTAAAGAGCGCCCTCTGTGCTGCTGTCCCGTGTGCTGCCCTCCTCTCTCCCCCAGAGCGGGCCTGGCCGGGGATCAGACTGTGTCTGACCTGTCTCTGTCTCCCTCACACTGTACAGACCACATAGCACTGATCATTGAGCTGCTGGGGGCTGTCCCACGCAAACTCATACTCACTGGGAAATATTCCAAGGATTTTTTCACCAAGAAAGGTAACAACCCAATGTTACAAGTTAATATTTGTTGGCAACCACAAAGCATTTATACGTTCAGCACATTTTATTTTCTGCTTATAATGGCTTCCACCTTTATATCTTAAATGTGTAGTTTCTTAATGATCAAATATTACCTTGAAGGTGCATTGTGTAACTTTTCTGGTGGAGGGTACGTCAAATACTTTTCTCCATGGAGATGTTATTGCTTTGTCTGGAATGTTTGACAGTATGATATTAAACATTTTTATCTTCATGGAGACCAAACTAGATCAAGCTACAGGTGAGATCTGTGGAGATATCTGTGGCATATGCGCAGAAACAAGAAGGTGATGACTCCTCAACCAAAAAGTTACATAGTGCATCGTTAATACAGAAGGCATATATTCACAGTGTTGTCATTAAAGCACATGTATGGAAACCTATTATATTGTTATTGCTGTAAATACTGTTGTTTAGATTAATTGGATTATTGAAGTGACACATGTACTTATACTAGTTTTAAAGGTTGTAGTGACTAGTAGAAATCATTATGTCTGACCATTTAAGTGATAAACCCTCTGTCGCAGTATTATGAAATGCCACACAAGACATTGGGTCTAGATCTTATTTTAGCTCAAATAAATCCATGGTCTGTTTTTGTGTCCCTCTTGCCGCTCGCTCATATGTGCTTTTCTTGCCTGCAGGTGATTTGAAACACATCACAAAACTGAAGCCATGGGGTTTGCTGGAGGTGTTGGTGGACAAATATGAGTGGCCGCGCGAGGAGGCAGAGAGCTTCACCGACTTCCTGCTGCCCATGCTGGAGCTGATCCCTGAGAAGAGAGCCACTGCAGCCGAGTGCCTGCGCCACCCCTGGCTCGCCCTCTAGTGGACACACCCAGCCTTTGCACCTCCCAATCCTCTTTCCCCTTACTTCTCTCCAGAGACTGCAACAGATCACTTTTCCATTTATGGGCATATCAGACGAATATTTATTTCTTTATTTGTTGTTATTTTGATACGTTCTTGAGCTATTGCCTCTGTGTCCGTTTGCTTTGTACTTGTTCTTCCTTCGTGATGACGTCAGGAAGTGGTGGGTTATATTTCTTTGTGGTCAACTGCTGTGCTCTGGTAAACTGCCCTTGTCCGCCTAATGACACCTGCTCTTGTCCTTGTTTTCGTTACACTCCTGCACTACAAACTAAACGAATCAAGGATCTAATGTAGCCTCTGTATCCCATGAAAAGGACTCAATATGACTTTAATGTACAATTCATCAGTGCTGTGTTCTTTTTCAAAAAATATTATTTTATCTAATGCTACATCTGTAAGACATCCATTTTGTATTTGTAAGTAGGTTTAGGATGTTGCACACTGGGCTTAGAGTGAGACTGACTGTGCTGAATTACAGGGGACAGTCCTCTTTATTTTTGCAGAAAAAGGTGAATCTAGATCAAATAAATTAGAACAGATGGTTGGTGGTCAAGCTATGTCCAAGTTCATATGATTTCAACTTAAAATGCACTTATTTAATGAAAGGTGTCTGAATATCCATCCAAACACAAAATCGTCTTTTTAATGACCAATACTTATTTTGTGAAAAACCAACAGTTAGTTTATGTTAGATAGTGTTAGTTTGTGGTATGACAAGTAGCAATACGGATCTTAAGATAACAAACACAGACTGTGATGCATTTTAAATTTAATTAATATTGTTTGGGAAATTGGTAGAGCACAGTTGACTTGTGTTTAAGCTAGGTCCATGCTAAAACTGTCTAATTTTAAATGCAATTGAATGGAATATTTGTTGTTCCAACTCTTAGACCTTCTCAATTTGCCATTCAATATAAAATCTATTTGGAAGGTGTGCATTTTAAATTTAAATTGTTAAAGCATGGGCTCCACATCTGTAATTAGTTTATTGTGATAAGAGTTCTTGGTCATGAGAGGCTGGTTTTCTCATACTCACTTCAGGAACATAGAGACGTTATGTTACACAGCCCACTATGAGGAAAAAAGGTGAAAATAAAGTGTATATATGTGTACCAAAGAGTTTGCCTTTATGTATATGACAGTTCTGTACAGTTTTTAACAGATCTTCTAAGACCTTAGCTAAAGAGATTTAGCTGAGTAGCTGTGTTTTAATAAAGTATGGACGATGTTTGAGTTGTATGTATGGCTGTATGTTCAATAATGTTTTTACCTCAGAGGAATACTGGGGTCCTGTCGACGTCTGAAAGGAGCAGATAAAACTAAACAATGTTCGTATATGTGAAAACCTTTAGGTCCAAACTAATGTACATCTGTGTCAATTAGCAGAGAGTAGAGTTTGTGTGAGATCTCAAAACTGTACAACCAACCATACAATAAAATGTTCATACCATTCACAACTATTTGTCTTCTATTACAGTTTTATTTAAATTGCATTTTCAATATCCCTCAATATGATATCAGTAGAAAATTCGTTATCTTCTTGGCTAAAACATTGACATGAATTCTGGCAAATGGTGAGCCTTTTATTACTTGTTCTATCCAAAACAAATTCACGATGTTGGCCGGTTAAATTTAATTTTGCACGTTACAAATGCTTACGATTAGTATATATTTGTGGCTATGGGAAATAATAATAAATAAAAGTAAGCTACAGTAATGACAGTTCACAGTTGCAAAACAGTTGAGCAAAAGATTAGGACATGAGATATGAGGGGAATGTTGAATTTATTGTAGTTCCTGTTTATGTACAAAATTTACAAAGTATTCAGTAATGGCTTCTACTTATGTCACTGCTTTTATGATTATCCACTTCCAAGTTCCCGATGAGCTTTTGAAAGTACATTCATATTCAGTTATTTTCTGCAAAAGAAAGAAAAACAAAGCATCAATAATGAGTGTCATAATCCACAAAGATCCCCTACTGCCTAAAATACTCCTCTTTGAAACATAATCAGATAAATATGCAGTTGTTGTGATTGTAAGTCCCTTGGGTCATTTACACCATGCTTTTATTCACTTCAAAGGGATTTTATGACAACCGTTTTTTTTATTAATCCATTTGTCATTCAGTATGTTTTAGACTTGGGGAAATATATGCAAACTACCAACATTATTTTCCCAAATCCCCAGGCAAAAGCACCTGGTGAGTACTTAATATTCTGTCATACAGTGGCTATTCTAAACAAACATTAATTCACTTCTCTGGGGCTGCCATAACTGCTGTCTGAATCTGATATTTGAGCTTTAAATCTTTATTATTTATCATCTGGTATATTTACTACTATATTACTACATTAACACATTTCTTTACATGTCATTGTCATATGTCATACATGTTACTATTAAATTTTCTACACCACTCATTTTAGGTTTTAATAATTTAGGCGAGACACAACAAGGTAAAACTTTTTTTTTTTTTTTTTTTTTAATTGTGAGATTTGCCCTCTTAAAGGGGTTTCATAGGGGCTATGTAACTTTTCTGTCTTTATTGCATTTATTCAATTACAGATCTCAAGACAAGAAAGTCGGGGAATCTCCATCTCCATCAAAAAAGTAATTAGTAAATAGCATTCAACTACAATAACACCCACAACAAAACAAGAGTCTTACAAAATGTTTTGACCTCATCAACTTGAGTCCAAAAATTTACCCAGGGAATTTTAACCTGAAAAGGCATTCTCCAGTGTTGTCTCCACCTACAGGCATTGTTTTTTCCCGTGCTTCACACATTTACAGAAGAAATTTTGGATGGCTAATTCCTTATTTACTTTGAAATATATCTATTTTTTCCATTTTAGTGTGAATCCAGGGGACTTGTCTGATGCTTGCCTTGGTAGAAGCCAACACTTTTCAGGTGCATCTTACCCTATAGTGCCTCATGTACAGTCCCTGACAAAAGTCTTGTCGCTTATCCATTTTGTAGAAACAAAAGCTTATAACCTGACTTTAAATTAATCGATTGGTTTTAGAAATGTCTCATATGAAAGCTAAAACCCTCCCAAATTATGCTCAATATACTAAAATAAATTTTCTTCACTGAAGATTGATCATTTAATGAACACAGAAAGGTCAGATTTTGGCAAGACAAACGTTTTGTCACCTACACAAAATTGAACAAATAATTTACTTCAAATACAAAAATATGTTGCATTACGTCAGTGAATTAAGTAGTGGTGCTGTGAGATCCATATTTAATATCTTGTATGACTTCCATGAGCTTGAAGGACTGCATCCATGTGGTTCGACAAGTGATTCATACAATTTGTTGATGAAGTAATCAGGAATAGCAAAGAAAGCGTCTTACATGCCTCCCAGAGTTCATCAAGATTCTTTGGTTTTGCCTTCCATGCTTCCTCTTTCATTCTACCCCAGACATGCTCAATGATGTTCATGTCTGGTGACTGGGCTGGCCAGTCCTTGAGCACCTTGATCTTCTTCGCCTTGAGAAACTTTGATGTAGAAATAGAAGTATGCGGATGGAGCACCATCCTGCTGCAAAATTTGACCCCTTTTATGGTTGGGAATGTAAGAGGTAGCTAATACTTC